ATGTATTGGTATCTAGTACATACCTATAGTTATTAAAATAATACATTTAAGTTATTTTAGGAAAAGCTTTAGCAATCATAAGTTTCCTCTAGGTAGAGCCATTGTTCGGCGGGAGAGGGGACGGGGTATTGGAAAGTTATTTTTTGAACTCTTCAGTAGACAGGTAATCACGAAAAATTCAAAGAATAAAAAAAACAACTACATTTATAAATTAAAAATTAAAATCAATTTGAGTCAAATATTTATTCTGTTATGTATTTTATTAGATATATCTTCACTGTTTATACAATTTCATGCTGCAAGTTATAATTTAAAATAATATAGGTACACTTAACATTTTTTCTTTTTTTTGTAAAATGGTAATTTTTCGACCGTTTTCTTACAAAATTGTAATTTTAACATTAACACTTTGATAACACACGATAAACTGTTCCTTTATGTAGGTACTTAATTTTATGTTTATAAAATTTAAATCGTTCTCTTAGTACTAAATTATTCGAGATCTAATATTAAAAATTGATAATTGTTTATGGTTAAAACATTTAAGTCAGTGACAAGTGTTTCACATTCAATACATTGAATACACAGTATAGGTACTTATATTTGCAAAGTTCAATCAATTTCTGTTCCGTATACTTGCTAATCAACAATCGGCCGACTTCCGGCGCAGCCCTTATTTATTAATTAGTAACTAACTAGTACCTAATTATAAATTATTTTAACTGTAAAAGTTTATTTCCAAAGTATTAACGAAAACTAATCTTATAATTCTGATATTGAATTGTCGTTGATTATTGTGTTTTCTACGGCTTTTAACGTATAATTGTAGACTCACATTTGTATGTGTACAGTCCTCTCCTAATTCCGGCCTTGAGTTGAACAGTGTTAAATATCACTCTTATTGGTAAATATTAATAAAATAATATTATTGTATTTTAACTTCTATACTGGAATAATTTTTGAGTGCTTCAAACTCATAAATTTAAATATTCAGTTCAATACAATTACCAAGCCTGGGAAAGTTAATGATAATTGTTAACCGAGTTAAATTCAGTTGATTGAAAACATTTTAAAAAGTTTAAAGTTAAGAGTTAACCTAATTTTTTTAACTCGGTTAAGTTAAAAGTTATATGAACATTTTCAATTAACTTATTAATTTAAGTTATTATTTTTTTTACATTTTTATATCCATATAAATATCCAGTTATATGGTTTAAAATAATAAAAATAATAAATATTATTAAACACAGGAAATAGCGGGCGTTCGGGAATTAGGCCACAATTAACCCTTTTTCAAAAAGGTATACGGTAATTGGGCAACTACAGTTTTACATTTATAACAGGTAGACCCGGTGATTGGGCCACTATTGCCGTCGAGTCGTTCCATTGATATTTTAAAAACAATTTTTATATGTCACATCCCAATATTCATAATTTGTTAAATGTTTTATTGGGGGTTCAATCCGAAGTATATAGGTATTTAAATAAAAAGCATAGGAATGATAAAAGCAAGAAAACGAACTTTGATTCGTAAAAAATATATTTTTAATGAAATTCAAAATTATGAAGAAGGGAAAAAGAATAGATTTGAATTTGTAAAATCGGTATTATAATATTTAAAAAAATAATTGTATTTTTATGTACTTCTCAGAAAAAAATATTTATAATAATTATTACTACTTGATTAATTTTATTGACTTTTTATATTATATTAAATTTGTAAATCCCATGTATGGCGTTATTAAAAAAAAAATATTGTATTTTATGCATTATAAAAATAATTATTAGTTAATTAACGTTGTATATTCGTATATTTTTATGCTGTACATTTATGGCCCAATCTCCGGGTACACTTTAAAAATATAGATTGAATTTGTAGCCCAATCTCCGGGTAGTAAAATGTAAACAACTATTTTATACGAATACATAAAATGTGGCCCGATTACCGACCGCTTGAAATAGCCTATAGGTTTTCAATACATAAGAATTTAATTATTAGGTACCTACCGATGAATAGAATTATGTAGTAATAAACAAATTAATTAGTAAAGTATACAAAATGCTGATATAAATATAATCTTTTGATTTATTAATACAGATAGGTAGGTATTATATATATTTTTTAAAATTATTAGATAAAAATAAGATGGTAATTAAGAAAGTACTTAATTTTAAACTTTGAATAATTTTTCATAAAACTAAAAGCCTAAAGCATAACTTAATTGGTTTTAATTTAAAAATAACTTATTTATGGCGAAAATATTTTATAATAATATTATGTTCTTGAGAATTGTACATTTGTGATTTATATCTTTATCAGTCTAATAGTATAGTATCATATTAATTATTAGTATTAATTAATTATTATTATTATTATTATTATTATTATTATTACAATATGTCCGTATGCTGCAGTATGTTATAGTATATCTTTGTAAATATAATGCACCTATATATTATAATATAATATAATATATACTTTTTCTTGAAGAATTCTAGTTAAATTTAACTATGTATATTTTTAATTTCCTATTCTAATAAATGGTTATGTAATACCTATGCATCATCAATAATAATTTTATTATATTTTTTTATTTAATTATTCATAAACTAATTTAACTTGAATTTGATTAAAAGTAATTCATTATTAATTAAGTTTATATAAATTCAAATAAATTAAGTTAATGAAAATTAAAATAAAAAAGTTAAAATTTACTTAACTTTAACTTTTTAATTTGTTTATGCCCAGACTTGAGAATAATTATAGGAAATAGGAAATGTGTTTATAATTGATTATCAAGATTATTTTTAAGTTTTTAAAAATTAAGAAATAATAATGATCTTGGTTTTTTTTACTTTATATCTACCAATTATTATTATAACCTACATTGGTGTTGTAATTTTAGCTTTTAAAACCAATTGTATATTTATAATGTACAATGGAAAATATGTTTATTTTTTTTTTCAATCCTTAGATTGGTTAAATGACTTCAATGGTTCATATGTATATACCTATATATTTATTATTAAGTCTCAATAAAGGTCTAATTTACTTCACTGATGTTAATAATTATAACTAGGAAAGAATAAGCTCCTATTTTATTTAAGCTTATGGCAATGAGGAATTTTTAATGTTGAATAGAATTCAAATTAATATTATTTTTGTACCATAATCGCAAAATTTAATTAATAATTTATATGAATATAATATTATTTACGATATAGGTACTAATAAAATATAAGTTTTAATAAATTTAAAATCTACAAGGGTAAAGTAAGAATTATTTTTTGTTACATTTTCAAATACAAATAGTAATTTTTAATATATTCGATAACTTAACATTGTTGGCTTCTCAATTATAAAAATGGTATGAGCTTATAATTTTTGATATGTTACTTATATGTCAAAAATAAATAACCAGTGTTGAACATTATCTAGATAAATAATCAATTATCTTTTATCTTATCTAGATAATAAACAAAATTAATTATCTGATGAAAAATCTTAGATGAATTCTTGAGTTAACTAACATAATTTATCTAAATAAAATACGAGTATACTTATTGGAAACATTGAAATTCAAAGTTAAAAACTGATACAAATTTAAAATTAATCAAAACTTTATTAATATTATTAATTTACTAATTTTATAATTAATGACTATTATTTTAAAAGTTGTGTTACAACAATAAATGTTTAGTTTTTTATTTAAATTGTGCCTATAAGTATTATTTTTCAGAATTGTTTACATATTTAATAAAAACTATTAAAATTATGCTTTCTAGTGGCTCTTAAAATATTTGATTCCTGTTACAGACATCCATAAATGTAGGTCTTTACAATTATCATTTAATAAGGAAACACATATCACTTAAAATATTAAAAATATCAGAATGTTTATATAAGCATAGTATATTAAGCATTTTATTAGTATCATTATTATGGCAAATATAATAAGGGCACTCTATATATATATATAAATATGATGGGTAGTTCAGGGTTAGGCTAATAGAAATTTAACAGCTATTTTATTGGCAAACAAACTAAGAAGAGACTACATAAGCCCGGAAATCAATTTAAATTGACTCTCTTGAAAGGACCACAGTCTTTTACATGGGAACAGGGTATATGACTATAAGGTATTCCCGAACAGATCAATATTTAGATGTGTTACAGTCTGATCTTAGTAAGCACCTTCACGCCATTTTACTTGCCAAATTACTTAAATATTTTGTACTTAGAATATTCACAATAAAGAAAAGTAATTATCGGTAATATCCTAACACACATCCTTCGTCTGAACTGCTGTATTGACGGCAAACAACATTCCTAAGAAAGATAATTAAATAATACAGATGATGGTTGTTTTAATTTTTTAATATTTTAACCATAATTATTACTCCATAATAAGTATTATATAAATTGTAATGAATTGTTTTATAAAATTATAATATTCCTACAAAGATTGTATCTTTTTAAAATTAAGTACTTATTATTTATTACTTATTTCCCATACATAAATGTAGATAATATAAATATTTTTTGTTCATTATTTAAATTGTAGGTACCTAATAGATCAAAGTTAAGATAATTTTAATTTAATTACATTTTTTAAGTATAAATTTATAAAAAAAGTGTAAATTAATCAATAATATTAAAAAAATGTTATTTTTTATTTTTTCCAGATAATTTAGTGTTTTATTTTTTATTTTTATCTAGATAAATGTTTAGTTATCTTGCGCAATACTGTAAATAACTCTACATGACTTCATATATAAATTTAAATCAAATAATAATTTTTATAAAACATTAAGGGACTTTGGATAAAGATACTTAAGAAAGTATTTTCTACTTAAATTTTACTAAATTAATAATGATTACAGTGAATATAATATTAATACAAATTAAAAAAGCAGTATGAGTATCCACAGGTACTCATTTCTTATATAATGTTAAGTTTCAACTTACTAGACATGGGTTGTATAAATGAAACAAAATGTTTACAAAAAAATATTTTTCAATAGGCTTTATTCACTTAGGTAACATATGTGACAGATAACTAAGATGAAAATATAAAATGTTTGGTTTATAAGAAACCATGTGGCAGTTTAATGACTCCTAAAAAGTTGTTAAATGGTGAGGCTAGATATAATTTATCATCAATAACTTCGACTTCACATATACCAAATACTTCTCCAGTAGTAGAATGCCAACTTGATATTATAGTACCTTTTTCATTAACTTTTAAAATAGTAAGCCGTGGTTTCGTAAGCTGATTTAAAAATGATAATGATTCAAAATGTCCAACCTGTAAGAAATAATAATTTTGTTAATATTATACAATTTTATATTTTGTATTTTCATAAAAATTTGATGAAAAAAATTAATTTTACAATAATAACACATTGTCAATGTTATAATTTATTTAAATATCATTAGTACGGATAATTTACTTAAATTTCTCAGATATTATGTATAGTAAACACTATTTACAATAATATGAAAGAAAATTTACTCTATATTTTACTTGCATTTAAAAATTGGAAAATGAAAGTATGTAACAATTTAATGAAAAATTGTACATACATTTTAGAAACAATCAATTTCATGGTAATGAATACAAATATGATCATTTATTTTCAAGAGTAGTGGAGGTAAACTACAGACCATAGTTCAAATCAGACTTGCAAACAGTCTTTATCTAGTCTTTTATGGATATTCATGATTCAAGCACTTTTATAGTTTGAATGTTGTATAGTTGTAAAACCAAAAATAAGCCTTCATTGCTATAGAGTGTAAGGAAGGAATCCATAGTTATAACATAAGAGATTATTTTTTTCTATATGTATACATTTATATACATTACTATAATAAGGTGTTTTAGATGATTTTGATATTGTATCATTAATATTATATCAAAAAATAATAAGATGTACCTTTCGTGTAATTTGAATCACATATTTACCGAGAGCACAAATGAAGATATATAAAATAATATATATGTATAAGTATAGTAAATTAAAAATTATAATAATATTGTAAAATTTTATTTTAACTTTTAAAATCATTAATTTCATGAAAATACAAACTGAAAAATGAATTATAAGTATGTTAAGTAATTACCCAGTGAGCAGCTTTTTTCAAAAATATATTGGGATAAAATGAATCAAGTATTTGAAATGTTTGGTCTAAGAGTCCAAGACTTTTAGTAGCCATCATTCTTAAAGTTGGATATTCACCAATTTTACTATAAAATGTGTTTCGGTGAAGAACTAATGGTAAATAAAACCATTGACCAATTCTTTTAATATTATCTGGCATTCCAGGTAATCCATCAATAAATATTGAACTTTCTCCTGCTTTAGGTCCTTTTAAATAATATCTAACACATAATACAATAATTCAATTTTTAGATACATTAAATTTTAGAATTAAAATATTTTATCATACTTATGGACGCGAAATTTCAAGGTTTCAGCAACAAGTATAAATGATTCATCATCAGATAATTCAATACCATTGGCAAAATGTAAATTTTTCATTAAAACTGTATTTTTTTTCAGTTTTGAATCATATTTTATAAGTCTAAAAACACATATACATAACATGTATATTAATATTATTAATAATTATTAGCAATTGTTATAAATGTAATAAATAAATGTATATAAATGTTATATTATTATAAATATTATAAATGTAATAAATGTTATAAATGTACATCATTATTGTTATAACAAACATTATTTCCATGTACTAATGTATTTAGATTTAAACTAATAGGTAATAGGTAAAACTTAGTAGATAATAATCTATTAAGTTTCCTAAATAAAAGGTAGATTTAATGACAGCATAAAATTTAGTATGTGTCAGTGTCAATTGTTGAAAAAATGCATGAAAAAATTTAAATTATTTTATGTATATTTAAACTGATAAAAATATTTTTAAATAATTTAGAAGACTACTACTGAATTTAAGAGATATAGATCTTTTAGTTTTTATCATAAATTTAACATATGGATATATTTCACTATTATTGTAACAGCTCAATAAAATTGTTAGATAAAATTTATAACTAAGTTTACCAATTTTACCAAATTTCAAATAAGAAAATAAAAATGATTTATTAAATATTTTTTAATAAATTCTAACCTTCCAGTACCATCAACTAAAATTGTATAAACACCATCATGTAATGCATAATGTGAGTCAGAGTCAGTCCAATAGATAGTTCCATCAGATGAAACTGCAACAGAATTTGGTAACTTTGGTCGTACACCATCAATAACATCCTCCATTGAAACTATTTGCTCCTTGGCACCTATAATATAAAAATAAAACACATTATATGCATCAACTCATTATGAATATTACAATTTGATATATAATGTACTAAATTACATAATATAATTAAAATAGTTGTATAATATCAATAATGAAGAACTGTTTATAATTATATATTTAACTAAAATTGTATAAATACAAAAAACTATTAACTTATTATAAGTTAAATCTAAATGTTCTTTTTTTACGTGAAACTGCTGTCTTAATGATTATTGAAAAGACAATTTAAAAAATAACATTGTTATGTATATGTTTAGTCATGTGTATTATTATGGCATTTTATATGATTAAGAATTTAATGTAATACTTATCCATTTTTAAAGAAGTATATAATATTTAAATTATTGCATAGATTTTTTAAGAGTTTTATATAATTACTAAGCATTTTATAAAATGTCAAACAAAATATTGATAATGTCCAGAATAGGAAAATACATTCATTTTTTATCATAATGGTACTTAACAACTATACCAAAGATAATTAATTTAATTAATAAAAAAATATATTTAATAAGAAATGTTAACTATTACATAATATATGTATACATATAAATGAATAATTTCAATTTTATGCCTGTACAGAGATTTTAATTGTTTTTGTTTAATTTTGTTATTTATTTTAAATGTCATTAATGTTGAGACAAAATAAATATTATTCAAACTATTTCATTATGGCAAAAAAATATATTTTTATATATTAACAGACTTAGTTTACTATTATTATTTATGACCAAAACATCATATTTTAAACATAAGTTATGAGAATTTTTTTTTTGGTTTTCAATTTAGTATTATAAACATCTTTTATTAATAAATTATATTATAGGTGAGGGCAGACTTTGTCCACAGGGGGGTCTTTAAAAAAGTTAACCAAAGATTCTTGTACTAAAGACTACTAGTATAATTAAATATTTTAAATTTTTATAAATTATTTATTTAATTCAATATGCAAATATAAAAATAAATACTATTTAAACTTACACAATTTATAACTAAGAAATCCTTATTTACATATTATTATACTATTTACAAATCCATCCTTCTGTCCACAGGAGTAAGGTTTTTGAATGTATCAATTACATCTTTAATTTTTATATTATATGCAAGTTCTAATTAGTCTGATTAGTAACTAATAACTTTATTAAATTTATTCACAGATAATAATTCTATACTATAAGATTAAAACTAGCTTTATTTTATTCATGTAAAATGTAAAAATGTTTGCTATTTTGTATAGTATAGATATACATTTATTAAAGAAAAAGCTAGAGTTCGCAGGGGGGCTGTGGCCCACCCGGCCATCCCTGTGCGCATGTCTATGAATGATATTATTCATCAGTTAAAAATACACTGTTTTTCTATCACATTGTTGCTTAAATAACTTCATTACTCACACACAAAATTTTATGGAAAACTGAAACATGAAAATTATAAATAAAAAGATTACAGCTGTAAATAACTATCAACATTGTTTATTAAAAGTCTGAACTAATCATAATTTTTTGATATTACATTATCAATGCTGATAAGATGCTTTTAACACATTAATTATACATTATTTGGTATTTCATACAATGCCTTGGTCATTTAAATAATTCTATAGATTCCCGAATATGTTTGGTATTAAATAAAATTCTTAGTTATTATATAAATTGCTGCCAACATATTTATTAAACAAATATTATGAATTAAATACAAAAACTATTTTATACTTATGTAAATAATTATTGTATATGAAATTTTTTCAATTGAGTATTATGAAATTAAGAACTTTTTGAATAAAATATTTCTTAACAGGTTAATTATAAATATAGCCCACTCTGAATAAATATAACTATAGTATCATCACAATTTAAGATAGTTAGTATTTAACCTATATAAATATATAAAACGTTAAGGAATATGGAATGATTGAGCTAACTAACAACTATTTTCCTTTTTCAGTGAATCAACCAATTAAGATAATTTCAACATAAGGTAGTAGGTCTATATTTTATACTAAAAATTAATATTTTTTATTTATATAATAATATAAACAGATTTATTAAAATAATAGTATACTAAGTGTTTTAGATTTGATTATTACATTAAATGTTATAAACGAATAACTTATTGAACACAATCAATATTAAACTGGCCAATAATATAAGATGGGACGAAAAAAAATTTGATAAGTGGTTATGGTATAAATTAATACAGTTATAAATTAATTACTATATAACTCTAAGATTACTTAAGTATACTAATTAAATTATACCATATTCTATGGACATACCATAATTATTTGAAGAATTCACATTGATTTTAAAAATACCATAATAAGCATCAGCTACATACAAAAATCCTTTATTGTCCGTAGTAATACCGAGTGGTCGTCCACAAATATGTTCTTCGTATATACCATCTATGATCAAATATAAAGATAAAATAAAATTTGTCAGGTACACAATACATCTTTAAGAAAAAATTAAAAATAAAAAAGATTTATAATTTACTGGGATTCAAATATATTCATAAAAAACAAATAAAATACATTTGTAATAGAACAGATAAGTGTTTATTAATAAACTTTTTATTTACATACCACAGGGTTTTCCAAATTTTGCTATAGGGATGATTTGATCATCAACTATTTTAATAACATTACCAAGATGAATTGTTGAATACAACGTGTTATTATAATATATTAGCCCTTCAGGTCCTTTAATTTGATTTTCAAACAGTTTGGATGCACCTGATAGCTTTTCATTTAAAGCTAAGGGACCAATTAAGGCCTTCTCTGGAACATTACTGTTGGAAGTAAAAATCAATTAATTAATAAATAATCAAAAATTATACATATAATATATATTCATTAGACCATTAAGTACTTAGTTGATAATTAAAATAACGTACCAAGTATTAACCTTAAGTACATATACTTAAGTACACCTATTAGCAATATTAATAAACGTGCGGTTAATGAGGTTTAAATGATTTATTGCACAATGGAGTGTTAGATGATTATTGAAAGTTAATAAAGTTAATCTCCGTTTCTTAACGAGCAACAATGTTCTGAATTGTTTGAACACTTCAATGGTTTAATAATGAACTGTAACTCTAACCTGAAGTGGGTGAATGTGTCATTGTGTTGCGAGGGCAACAATGTGAAAAATCCGACGAGAGCAGTTAAATAAACACCGGACTTGAGCAACTGGTTCACGAACGCCTGAGAAAATCAAAAACAATTTTAAAGCAACCGAATAAGACGGTTAAAAACGAAATCTTTTCCGTTTTCAGCAAACGCCGGCCGTAGGCGATAGGACGTATTAACACTAGTTCGCGTTATGCTTACCATTATTTTTAAATTTTTCTTCGTACGACGTACCTAAGCACCGTGCGTGGCTGCAAAACGTGTACTGAAGGTGAAAAGGTAAAAAATGTGTCGTCCTACGTAGGTCATTGTGCCGGTGTTACGTTCGAGCGGAAAACGAACGGCGGAGAAGGGAAAACGTAGAAAAAAAAAACACTACGATTACATGAATAGTAATGTGTTGCGGTGTAGTAATGCGGTCGAGCGTGTTGTGGTAGGGTGGCGCGCGGTGAGACGGCGGCGTTCGGAACGAAAAACTAACCGGTTTTCCAGCGCGCGCCGTCCCGATGACTTTCGTCGTCTTGTTTTCGCGTCGTCGCGGACGGTCTGCTATCGACGTGCAACACATAATTACGATTCCGTATCGCGCGCTATCACCCCGGTCCGAATGATACGGATGATACCATCACGCGCACCGGACAGGGATTCCCAATTCGGTGCCGCGCACCTCGGAACCGCTCCGTCGCTTAGCCATCGCTCCTCTCCCTGGCAGGATCGCACGCGTCGCCGCGACTTTATTCGTTTTTCGCGTGGCGCGCACGGGTCTCGCACCGCTTCCCGACGTGTAGCGGCTCATATGTGGGCCCTCACACGATCAATGTTACTGACATTATTTGGGCTTACTGGCGGTGTAGTACTCAAACGATCAGTAAGAATTCGGTAGTGTCAATTCGGAGTGCCTACAATATTTTTTGGCCTCTTTCTTGATTCAAGTTCTCACTAAACAATACGCGCACACATTCTAATACATTACACAATATACAAATAAACATTACTTAAATTTTTTATTTTATGTTCCAACACAATAGTTATAAATTCATAGTAACAGCGACTATTTTAACTCATTAGTAACTTAATCCATAGGCGTGTCCAGACCTCCATGGCTGGGGAGGCCAGTTATAAAATTTAAATTTTTTACTTACTACAGCGATCTATAATCTGTACCTATATTTGTGACTTATTTTTGTTGTATGAAAATTATATAGCACCTGGAATTTTTTCACCCCGTCAAATTAAAGATATTTTTGATCTTAAAATTGGTTTCCTATGCTATTACAACTACGAACTAATAAATAAAGCCTATTAACTATTGTGCTACTTATTTATTTTTCATAAATATTTTATCAACTATACATCAACCTTCTATACACATTTTATTACAGTTATTACACAATAAAAAGTTATTTATCAGTTTGGTTAAACAAGTAATTTATTAAAATATTACAAATAATAAAATTCAATAAATTTAAAATTTGAATTCACCTTCTACCTAAAATTACCTACTGTTACTGTTTTAGCCACGGATATAGATACTATTTATTCGTGATTTCACCATTATAAGCCAAGAGGCCAAGAACGAAGTTGGTGCCAACCCTGCCACCCCCGTAGACACGCCTATGACTTAATCGACTTCATTGTTAGAGGCCATTTCTTGTTCTGTGAAAAGTAAAGTTAATGATTTCAAACCCTCTTAGGCCTTCTAAATTTACTTATCACAATATTTAATGTTGAATATACTCGTTCACACGAGCAGCTAGTAACGGGTCAAATGCTATACATCTATAGTATTTAAAAAAAACAACTAAAATATTGTTTCTACAGGAGTCTTTTAATTCAATAGTAATTCATACAGCAAAACAATTTACTAGACCATATTCACCATATTAAATTTCTATCATAAACATTTTTAATCAATTATTGGTATTATTATTACATTGCAAATTATAATTAGTTATGTATTCTTTAGTTGACAACTTTACAAAAGGTATAGATGAAGAACTTGTAGAAGTAATTGATACTAAATCATTAATTTTACAATTTTAGCTAGAATATAATATTTACAATCATTAATTATTACTACCTAAGTGCCGGGCCACACGATGCGGTATCATCGGATCCGTCGCGATACGACGACGCTGGATCCGGTGGAATTATTTTAAAAATACATTATATTAAGTTATTGATTTTATTTTGGTCTACACGACACGTTTTCACCGATTTCGCAGGTCTCTACCGCAACATGTTGCGGTGATACCGGATCAGTAACACCGGACAAACTTCAAATATACACTATTTTAGTATAATTCGACCACATGATCCGGCAGTGTCGTATGCGGCGAACTTATTTATTTTGTTTTATGTAAGTAAAAAAAAAAATATATAAATTTAATAAAAATATTTGATTACGAAAAAATAATAGGTGAAGTTGAATCGAAACCATGTTTATGAAATATTGGTGGTAGCGATTACCATAATTAACATTTTAAAGCTTTGACTTGGACTTCGGTCTGTGAGACGATTTATAATGACTGGAATCAGGGGCGGATCTAGGGAGGGGGGTTCAGGGGTCAGATGACCCACAGTTAATATTTGTTGACAAAATTGGCCTCTTGGACATTTTTATCTCTTTTTAGACCTTGATTTAGACTCTTGGACAGTTGGCCCATCGGAGTTACTTGAAAAATGAATGTCATGTATATTCAAAATTTAAAATTTTTCAATTCATAATTTATATTTTAAATTATATTGTTTTAGTAGGAAGTTAAGTAAATCATATTTTATTCCGTACGTTTGTTACGCTAATAAAATTAGATTATATTTATTAATCGTAAATAAGTCATTATCGGTGGTATCACTAATTCTAAAATGTAATATAAATATACTTATACACTTTTATGAGCATATTGAGTTTTTTTTTTACAAGGTATTCATTTCTAATCCAGTTTCATCCCTAATAAATGGTTTCTTGAAATGGTTTGACCCACAGTTCTCCGACTCTGGATCCGCCCCTGACTGGAATGAGCTTTCAGCCACAGAAAAGGACGAAAGAGGTAAGTTATCAGTAGGTTAGGTAATTTATTACCCTATATAATCATAAAATAGTGAAAATAATTATTTGTATTTTAAGATATAATAAAATTAAATAAATTTCATAAATTGAATATTGTAATAATAACCTGTACAATATCAAAAACTAAAAAAACCTAAAAAAATATACTTAAATATGTAAATAAATAAATTTTAGGCAATCTCCTAGATATAAATTAAATAAAATAATACTTAATAAATAACTATGTGTAATCTGTTTCATCATAAAATAAGTAAAATGTATGTCAAATAAAAATATTTATTGTAACTTATATATAAAACATTAACTTCAAGGAAAATTTTTGAATATTTTCATAAAAGATAGAAAAATAATTTTCAATTTTTAATGAACTAGATGAACCCAATATTTCCTTACTTTAAGAGTAGGAATAGTTGGTTCATCTAGTTCACCAGCGGCTTCCGTGGCACATATTATATTCAGAAGTAAACTATCACACATGATTAAAGTGTAACAACCTGCAACTGTATTTGGTGATAACCAATATCATACTGACCAGTGACATAAATAGGAACTATAATTTATAAATTTATAAACTATAATTAGTAAATAAATAATTATTTTATTCTGCCGCATCCGACGAAAACGCATAGTGTAGTTGAACATGACCTATTCGGTATCGCCACCAATTTTTCCACCGCATCGTATGGCCCGGCACTAATAAATAATGATAATACAAATGTTAATTTGAGATTATTATTTATGTTGCATTTATTTTTTATATTAGAAAGTAATAAAAAAACACAGGATTAGTAATTAGTAGTGTTTTAACTTTTAATTTCTACTTGACTATCTATTATTTTAATAATTATAATTTATATTTTTTATTCTAATGATCATTGTGTCCATGTTAATTATTCTATAGGTATATTTAGATTGTTTATTCATCAATTTTATTAGGTAACTAAATCACTTTTAAATTCAATATTAATAAATCATTTATAATGGTAAATAGAATAACACTAAGCATTATTTTTTTTTTTTTCATTTAGTATTTAAAAGTATTTGTTAAATATGATTATATAGGTACTTAAACATTACAATTAATATTATATTTATATAGGTACTTATTACGTACTAGATTTTTTCTGGGTAGAATAAATGTATTAAAAGAACCTCGTATTTTCTCAAATTGTTTTTACCTTCTTTGCGTTTTTGAGAACTGCTTTTAGAAGGCATGATTTTAATTTTACAAAAATATATATTGAAACAACATTGGATCAGTGGATAATGATCATTATAAATATTTAGTCAACTCATAATAGTTCCATGTATATAATTATAACAAATAACAGGTACCTATCTGCTGTGTTTATTTTCGACTTCACAATAATTCCATAATCTGTATAATGATGGTCTTTAATCGTATAACGGAATTATATTATGTAATAACTAGAGCGCGGATTTCTATGCAATCGCATATTTTTTTCCTTTCAATATTTTTGGATTTTTGTCAGTTATCTCCACGAATCATCATAATTTGAAAATAATGGTGAATTTTTTTTTTTTGCATATTTCTGCATATTTAGAGGTTATTGCATATTTTTGCATATTTTGGCAAAATTCAAAATTTATTGCATATTGAAGTGAAAATTTAAAAAAAAATGTATAAAATAATATTTTGTCAAGTAAAAAAATTAAAAATAAATTTCATAGTCACTAAATAATAATTTATATATATATATATATTTAGTTATAAAATAAATAATCGATTATGACGTAAACTTAATCGCTCTTGCTGTGTCAGTCGATTATCGACATACCACTTGCTTTAAATATGTCCCAATAACTTCGGTTGACATCAAGGGTTCGTTTTCGGTCTTTAAAAATATGTTAACCGATAAACGACACAGCTTCACAGAAAATAAACTTGAAATGCATATGATTATTTATTTTAATAATAAATAAAATTTTAAAAATAAATTAAGTTCAGAAAATTCCCTAAATTTTTTTGTATCAAGTATTTAAGTAATTAATTTTTATTAGTTGAATTATAAATTTTAAATAAATTAAAAATTATTGCATATTTTTTGCATATTTTCATAATTTTGACTGCATATTTTTTACATATTTTCATGATTTCGACTGCATATTTTTTGCATATTTTCATGATTTTTACTGCATATTATATGGCATATTTCGATACTTTTAAATGCATACAAATCCGCGCTCTAGTAATAACCCAAAAATACAAAAAATAAAATAAGTGAAGTAAGAAGGGGGAAGATGGGGGATAGTATATATATGTAAATGGCGGTGAGGTATTGATGTATTAAAGGGTTATTACCTTCCTCCTTATTTAAGGGAGTGCTCTCAGGGTTGAGAAGATTCGAGAGCCGATCAGTGCAATTGTACAGTCTGCCAAGCTAAATAAAGCAGCACTTACTTGTTTTGCCGTAGACCTTCAGATATCGATGCGAGGTTGAAAAGAAGGACAAATACAGAATTCAATTGCACTGGAACCGGATACTCTTCAACATTCGTACGAAAAACACAAGTCGAACGGATTAAAATTAAAATTAGTCAAAAATAAATCGCACGTATAAACTCTTCGTTGATCTTACGATCGGTGCCATGCACTGACGATCTAAGATCAAGAGCTTCTTCGTTGATCTTACGATTGGTGCGCATGCACTGACGATCTAAGATCAAGAGCTCTGGGAAGGGTGGTGTGTGTCCCTGTTATATAGGACACGCGGTGGCATGGATCTTGGGCGGTCTTTTGAATGTAGGGATGTCAGTAGTTTATTGTTCGACCCGTGTTGTTCGCGCTGGTATCGAAGATACCGTTATTTATATACTTGAAATGGTTTTAAAAATCACGTACATATAAATAGTATACATAATAAAATATTTGTGCCGTCTTTTACAATCGAATGATGCACATCATTACAATTACATATTAATCAGTGGTATATAATTACTAATATCAAGTTATATATTTCCTATAATAATTGGATCTAATATCTATTTCTAAGGTAATTGCAATGTTAATTTATTATTTATACATTTGTAGTCAATACCTAACATCTATAGTGTGCCTTATCATGAGAATAAGAAAACATAAAACCCGGTTTTAACCCGTTAACCGAAACCCGTGAAAACAAAATCTGTTTTTAACCTGGTAACCGGAACCCGTGTAAAGTCAGCCTACTTTGACTCCCTGTTTTAAAGTAATTTTCTCGAAAAATTTTAAAAAATTACTCAAGCTTCACGGAACACAGTTTAAGAAACGCTGCTCTAGAGAGGACCAGTCTTAAGACAAGTACTACGATTTTCCCGAATGACATTTAAAATAGGTATGTACGTATTATTATGTTAATATTTTTTCTCAAGACCTGCAAATTGTTGCGGTTGATAATCATTTCGCTTCAAATGTATCTCACAAAGACTTTCGATGTTAAAAATATTTTTAAAATGCAATGCTACAGTGCGTTTCGCGGGCCACCTGTATTGATAGGGCCGGTTTCAAATACGATAGACGCGTGCGACAACACCGATCACGTAAGAGGCGTCAAGATTAGAATTAAATTTGAGCATTCGCTGGCGGTGCAAATTATTATTTATGGACGAGAAACAATATAGTTTTCACAATATGAATTTTATTATTATTGTTATTTATTACTATATTGACATGCAAGGAGTGGTTGTGCTTGTGGATACCTACAGTTACAGTCTTATAAACTATCACTATATTAATAATTAATATGTTTGTTTTCCGTATGATTTATAAATATTTGGCAAGTATGCACGTTTGAAAAATTATTTTGAGCATTTTTGATGGGTTCAAAGCACTTCCAACTACCCTAATTCTACCGGTTTAAGTTTTATACTTAAGTCGTTTAAGAGGGAAAGACGCCAAAATAATTTGTACCTTGAAAATGCGTCGAAAGAGCTGATACCGGCCCATACCATTGATCCACATACGAACCCGGTAGATCGGATTACATTGCGTTGCTTGGCAAACAGTGGTGACCCGCTACCGGATAGACCGATTTTTCATTATTTTCTACTGCTGATGGCCGTCGCGTTATTTCGGTCAAACGGCATTTTCAACATAGATTTACTGAGCGCTATTGTGTTCTGTACGAGTGTACACATAATTTTACATATATCAAAATCTATGATGTTTGATTACGTTTCGTCGGCAAGTGCAATGGAATACCCCTATTATCCGCACAACGGTGTACAGTGTAGACTTCACACAACTGTATACAATCCACCAATAGTTATAAACGATGTACTCAATGCATATTTATGCTACAACAGCGCCGAATAAATCTAAACAATAAATTTTAATAATAAGTGTCAATAATTTTGATGACTTGTATATTGTTCTAGAATACATTCACAATTTTTTAGGGCGATGCCCATTTCCACCAAAAGTAGACCTTTCCTTTTTACACCAATACCCGTTTTCATCAAAAGTGTATCATTCCTTTTTCCATCAAATTAGATATTGACCACGTTTTTACCAAAACAATTGTATACTACGCTTAAATTAAAAGCTATAGCACAGAAATAACTTTATTTAACATATACTATTAATTCAATAAATGTAAAGGCATTATATAATATATAAAATATAGGTTGGAAAATGTTAAATTTTATTTAAAAAAATGGTCAGATAAAAAAAGATGAAAAAAATAATATATTATGGTATACGATACCTTAGTTATGTAAATTGTATCTATATATATATATACATATAATTAGTTGATATTTGTTAATTGATCCAATAAAAAATTTAAAGTTGTTTAGTACTAGTGTTTTATTTCCACATTTAATTTCGATAACTTAGAATTTTAAATTTTAAAATGTACATTTTATTTTAACACACACGCAGTTGTTAATGCACTATTTAAAGTGTGTCATCTTTTCATTTTTTCATAAAGTATTTGATTATTTAGATATTATAATGGACATAAAAGTATATGCATAAGTATGATAATGGTTTAACATACAATTAAATACAATAAATGTACAATATACATTGATTATATTGTGTGTATATTTATATATATTTTACATCAATCCGAAAAACTCATGAAGAGTATTGGTATTCTATCTTATTTGGTGGAAACGAATATTGGTGGAAAAGGGAAAGGTGTAGCGGAAACATGTTACGCCCATTTTTTATGCTCACCCTGGTGTTCTCTATATCTTATAATATGCAGTTGTGGCTTTCGATCATCAATCGGTCGGTATCATACAGGTTAATTGTAATAGTTGGAAAGTCAGTTATGATCTAGAGCGGATATTCGATTGTAATTTTTTTAATGTAATGTTTCAGTAAAGGCCCCCATTAAACAACAATAAAAAAAAAAAACATCAGGTTAATACTTTTTGCACATATTTTTTTTGAAAATCTTTCTTTAACAATTTTAAGATAGCAATTTTTGAAATAGATAAATGAAATTGATTCACAGAAAAAAAACAATTTAAACGTATTTTAAATAATAAAATAATAAAAAAATAAATTAAAATTAAAAATTACATGATATGTTGCCACAATGGCAGAAGAATAACAACGTATAATAATAAGAAGTTGCCGCAATGGCGAACAAAAAAAAAAAAAAAAACAAAAACGATACGTGTTGCTGTAAGAACGAATGACGAAAAACAACAACAGAAAAAGAGGACGGCCCGCTATTGTGACCGACAAGACAAAAATAATTACAATTACATAATGTGTAATAATGATAATAATTTCACGAATAATTTACACAATCTACAAATTAACGATATCATAATAAATAATTGAATCACCATTTAGATGGTATAATTCACATACAAGTAATGGACAACGAGGACGAGTGGAATGATAGGAACTCGTTGCTGTTGTCGTCAAGCTCATTAACTTAATTTAAAGCAAGCCGCACCGCAGCGCGAACACATGAAATTGATTAATTACATAATAAATAAACTTCAAATATAATATATATTTTTCACAACAGAGCAGGTACATAAGATAGGTAAACAAGTGAGAAATTTCCTTCGATAGATATTGCAGTATTAGATAGTATATAAGTAGGTAGCATGATGGTTTTTGGCGATTTCTGATGGCAACGGTGTATTCACAAATAGTGTATTCAAATTATTTTTGTGTCAGATGTCTGGTAAATGGTCGAAATGTTTTTGTGCAACTTTCAACGGTCGTACTAAGTCGGGGCTTTGATTATTGCTCGGTATTTGAGGAAACAATGTTGACGCAATGTTCACATAATGTCCATTCTGCGGATAATCAATATTAAAATATTATAAATGTTATAATAAAATATTAATAAGCTAATTTTTAGGTTGGAAAATTAAGTGTCCATAAAGTAAGTAATAACATATGATTACAATCGAATAAAATTTACTGATTGAAATTTTTAGTAGTAAATATACTCATACTACGTTAATCACTATGTATTAATATGTAATCATCTAGGATTTTCTAATGGTGGGAGAGATATAAAATATTTTCCTTAACAAATCTTGATTAAGGCAATACTAGTCATAATAAATAAAAAAAATTTAACACTCGGGGAATCCATCCCCTATATCCCTCCACCACCGTAGATCCGTCACTGAATGTAATATGAAAATAAATTTAATTTTAAGTGAAATTGATTGAAACTGAAAAATATTAAGCTTACAGAATAATTTTACACTTGATTAAAATACAACTGAATAATATGCAGCGTCTTAGATAATTTTTGGTTAATTCTATCATCGAATATTAAAACTATGGTTAGTTAACTAACTTATTTATCATTTATAATAATTGGTTATATGTAAATATTTAGTATGTATGCAACGAATAAATAATATCATTTAAAATTTATAGAATAGATAAAAAAATTGATGACAAAATACAATTTCTTAAATTAATTTCAATACTTCTTCCTCATTTTAAATTTTGAATGAAATGAGGAATGTAGGTACCTATTGGTTTTACCGTGGTGAATGTCTTTTGTGTCTATGTACATGATTTGGACAGGAAGCATTGCTTCAATCATCACAATCATTAAAGAATTCTTATAAGTTGTTTAGTTCGGGGTGGTCAACCGGTCGATCTCGACTCCCTTTAATTTTTTAAAATTTTTTTCAGAAAAAAAATAAATTATTATTTTTTTTTATCTTTGGTCAATCCACGAATACAAATACCATATTAAATAAATAAAAATTAATGAAGGCAATATATAGTAATACTATATAGTTATAAATAACTATAATAAACACAATTATACACTGATATCGAGTAGCTATGTAGGTATAGTGTATGTGTAGAATGTAAAACGTGTAATCTAATGATGATTCTATATTAAATAATGGCCTTTATCGCGTTCGTATAAATTGATAAAACGTATATATATAAAAAAAAAAACGGGTTATGTAAAATTGTAAAATTGTAAAATTCAAGTTATTACTTATTAATATTTTAAATAGAAGCAAATAAAGGAAGTGTAATATGCAAATATATAAAATATTTTTCATCAGTGACCACCATTTTTTTTTTTTTTTTTGATCGATCGTAATATCCTAGAAAAACTCACAAGTTGATCACAAGTCTATGTCCAAAAGTTGGCCGCCACTGATCTAGTTAATACCTTGATGGGGGTCATTTTATGAATTTCCATTTTTACATTTTTTTTTACTTCTTAGCTCTGCCCTTTTTATGTTGTTGTTATTATTGTTTATAAATATAAATTACAATATCTGTGACACAATTTAAATATTAGTTTGTTGATGTAAAATATATTAACAATTGTAATTAGGTTTTCTGGGTTTTTAAATTTTTTTTATCTTTATTATATAAGTTTTAGAGGTTTTTTTTTTAAAATGTATTTATTATTAAAATAATAATTAATGATAATCAATATGTATAATAGGTATGTACCTTAGATTTTTCTCGAAATGTTTTTAGTTTTTCAAACTCATACAAATCACTTTCTGGGTATTTGAACGAGAAACTATCAAAGAATGGATGTCGTAACAGTTGATCACATGTCCATCTTCTTAATGGATCTTTTTCAAGGCACATCTAAAAAAACAAATGCATTACATTAATAATATTAATAAAAGTTATGTATATATCAAATATGAAAAATGTGTGTAATATTGATTAAAAATATTATTAAGATATCGCTAAAAATAATCTATGTATCTTTAAAATTGTTTTTAACGTCCCTTTACTTTGATTAAATATCAATAAATAGGAAACATAATATATTTATATTATTAAATATGTTATAATTTATATTAAATATAATTACTTTTAAAAAGTCCAACAAATGTGGAATAGATAATGCTTGTTTGGGAAGTTTCTTCTCCAGTGATTCAATCATTTCTGGCTGAGGTAAACTTATTCCACGAAAAAATTCATTCATTTTGAAAATATGCATATGTCTAGCTATTAAGTCTCCTGAAAATTTAAGTATAACACAATAAGTTATAACTCATAACAATAAATATTAATAAAATACATTTTGAACATTTTGGTTTTTAAAAAGTTGATAGTGTTTGTGAAAAGTGTTGAGTCATCTGATTTAAAATACCTTTATTATATTACTGAATATTTTTTCTCCGAGTTAGTTATTCGTAAAGTATAATTTCTAATTTAATAGACGAACGGAATAATTAGATCCTTTAAACTAATATTTTAAGAATTTTTTCATACAAAAATAATAAATACAACTATAGTTGAATATCATTGATCTTCGATTCTTCGAATTTTTTTTTTAACTTGCTTTATTAATTTTACCGGGGAAAAGGTAAAGGATTTATTTAAATTTTTCCTTGCATTTATGGTTAATAAAAACATAAAAAAAAAATAATAGAGTACATATACTTAAAGAGTAGGATATATTTCTAACGGTAGACGAGTATTTAAAAAGAAAAATCATAGATATTTTTAAATATTTTTTAGTGTACAGCAATAAATATTTTCAAAAACAGAAATGAGAGATGAATTATTATATTTCATTATATCACTCCAAAAATTATTTTAAATAGTACATACATAATAATACTGTTCCATTATTATTAGTTGTATTGAACAATTTATGCATTTAACAATTAAATGCATACTAAATTAAGAACTAACTGATTATATAATTTATACTGTTTTATATATATATATAAATATTTTTAAAACTGAATAAATAAAGGATAAGTTGTACCCAATGTAGATCTTATAAGATACAGTTGATCGACATCGGATTTTCCTGGCCAGAGAGCTTCTCCTCTTATGAGTTCAGCACCAACGCAACCTAAAAAAATATTTTGAAATGTTTTGATAAATATTAATTGTTTTTCTTTTAAGTTTAATTTTCTTTTATAAAAAAAAATATTTATTTCAAATCATTAAATCAGTTGTACAATTTATTGATTGATTTATCACTTTTAAATAAACGATGGTAATTTTATCATGATATAATTTATTGAAGTTTTTATTACGATAAAAACAAAATATTATAAATTAAATAGCAATACATTTTTTATGAACTATAAATAAAATATGTTGTGAAAAATAAATAATGCATAATGCTAATAACTCACGAGTTTATTTATCAAGTAAAAATGAAACTGTTTCAATGAAAAGCCATTGATATGGTGAATTATCAATATTTTTTTAATGTATTCATTGCAGGGGTGGCTAATAAGTCAATCGCGTTTCCCTTAAATTTTTTTATTTTATTTAGAAATCAATTGAATTATTTAAATTTTTTTTTTGTTTTTTTTTTTTTTTATCATTGTTCAATACATGAATATAAAATCAAATTAATAATAACTAGACGATATATAGTAATAGTATATAATAACAAATAAATATGCTGAACGCAATTATACACTAGGATCTAGTAGCTACCTATGTAGATGTAATATAAATTCTGAATTAAATAATGGTTTTTATCGCGTTCGTGTCATTTGATAAAACTTATATTAAAAAACGTGTTACGTAAAATTGTAAAAATCAAGTAATTAATTATTAATATTTTAAGTAGAAGAAATAATGAAAGTGTAACATGTTTGTCTTAATATATCACGCAAAGCGCATTTACATTAGATAAGTACCTATGTAGTGTAATAATTCGTTATCTTTTATAGACTCCGTGCACCAGCTGGTGAACAGCAATTCAAACTTTAATTTACGTTAAACCGTTATAAATGTATAAAAAAAACCTCTTAAAAACCTATATTAATTCAAATAAAAGTAGGTATATCAAATTTACAAGATTTTGAACTAGAAGTAGTAGATATATACAACTAAAAAACTAACAGCCTACATACGAGTATTGTATGTAGTATAATACGATTAATTGATTAAAATAAAAAATAAATTACTTTAACTACGTATTTTGAAAACCAACATGTAATCAGCACAAACGTACAAAAATTCAGATTTATAGTAGATAAGTTTGATATCATATTGCTAGTAGTCATAAATGGATTACCTAATGAAAATGGATTCATGAATATAACAAGACAAAGTGAATATAAAAAACTGACAAACAAACAAATACAAAGCAAGCAAGCTTTAAATACATAAGGAAAGTAGTTCATATGATGTTTTAAAAAAAAAATTTTTACTGTTGAGGGTTTATTTAAAAACTTGAGTGAAACATTTTGTGAACATTTTGGGCACACAGGAAAATTGGAATCTTACCACAATGTGGGACTCAAATATAAGCCAAAACGTATCTATTTACAGTTCAGCAGTATGTTCGCGCGATTTATAATAGCGATACTCGACTATACAATAATACCGAAAAAACATTAATGTGAGAACAAGAAAATAAGTTGTATTTTCTAATAATTAAGTATAATAGATGTATATCTACATGTATTATTATGTAAATTAATATATGTTTTTATGAGGGTTTATTTTTAGATTTATTTTAGTTCCATTAATTAATTATAATAATTTATTAGTTTAAATTTGAATAACAAATTTTAATATTATTTGTTTTTTTATTTTATATATTTTTAATTTTTGCCCTTCTTTTAACTACTCTGAAATTTTTTAAAACTATGGAAAATACAATCATCTGAGGAAATGCATAACTTTTATATAAATGTATTTTAATAACTTATACCTTAAATTTACCTCAATTTTTTTCTATAGTTATTTTAATCGCGCGAAATAAATACCATGTGTGTATTTTAAATACAGCCTGTCGGATGTTATGTTTTTATGATAACAGGCGTAAAACGTGACTTATATATAAATACAAAAACAATAATTTTTGTCCAACTAAAATTTTAAATCACCAAAATTCTTTATATTTTTAAAGCACTATATTTTTACACAATAAGACATTAATTTTTTTTTTTTTTTTGGTTATGTAGCCCTTTGCACATAATTTCTATAAAATATGTAGGTAAATACCATACTATTAAGTATGATAAGAATAATTATCTATATTGCAATACAATATTAATATCTACCAACAATTTTGAATTATATGAAAAATAAATTAGAAATAAATTGATGAGAAATAAGTATAATGTTTTTAAAATTAAAATATTGTAAAACCCGAAATGTTTTAGTTTTACCAATTTAGATATTAAGTATTCAATTATATTTACCAATTGCCCAAACATCAACAGAAGGACCGTACAGCGTATCACCTACTAATAATTCAGGAGATCTATACCATCTTGTAGCCACATAATCAGTATAATTTTCTCCTGGATCTGGAAACAATGTTTGAAAATTGAAGTAAATAATTAATTTATTATATATTAGTAAATTTATTTTGAAAATAGTTTTTTTTCAATAATTTATTTAAAAAACTATAATTTATAATCGAAGAACTAATACACATAGAAAAATAGTTTAACGTTTGATTGAGAGGAAAAAAAGGAATTTTCTCTCAAGATTTTCAAATATACAGAAACAATATTGTGAATATTATTAAAGCAAATTATATCCATTTTTTAATTTAAAATATTAGAATTTTTGTGTAACAATTTGATTAAAATATAATTTAAAATCTAAGTTTTATGAAATGATAAAAGTTCATATAATTTTGTTTTACATTGAATTACTATTAACAATTGTAATTATTTGAATGATAAGAGTAATGATGATTTAGTATGAAATGTTCATTTTCTATTTGTCAAATTTATAAATGAATATGGTATTCGTTAAAAAGAAAAGCATATACACAAAGTTACTAACTCATTAGTCTAGCAAATCCAAAATCACAAAGTTTCACCACTCCTCGTGAAGTAAGTAATATATTTTCTGGTTTTATATCTCTGTGTATACAGTTGTGACGATGACAATATGCAACAGCCTGCAATGTTTGCCAGATAATTTGTTTTGTAAATATTTCTGGGCAGCCATAGGGATGTCTTTCAAGTTCATGAAGTACAGTGTGTTCACAGAATTCAAAAACCAGATGAAGTTTTCGCTTCCGCCGGAACACTTCGAGCAAATTCACAAGATTTGGATGTTTCAATGTCTAAAATAAACAAAAAAAATATTTCATGATAATTTATCATACATTTCCATGTGAAATATATATATGTATACCTAATATTAGTATTATAATTATAATAAAAATATTAGTATTATTAGTTCCATGGAAATAATCTTAATCAGATGTCTATAAATTATACTCGTAGTTATCTACTGAATTAATTTTAAGTTACAGTAATACAATTAATAATATTGAAAAATAATGTTTATTATTAATTCTTTACTAACTGTATTATCTACGGGGCGTCGTTGATAACCGCACATTTTCAAAAACAGGTCATCATTCAAAATCGCACACTTTTATATCTTATTCCCACATATTTTTGCCAAATTAAACCGTTCAATACCGCACAAATTTATGTATACCATAAACAATTATATTTTATATTATACCATTAACAATTTGAAAATATAATCATTAGCCATTTAGGGAAACTCCTTAGATACTAGGAATTACAGTGTTCTCTGTGTTAATAATTTTTCTAATTTATATTATAAAATTTGACACATTTTTTCATCATACAATTCAATCGATAAATTTATTTTAAGAAGTCACTCCTGTATATGTATACATATAAATTATACAATATTAATTGTTACAAGAATTTTAGTAATATTCCAGTTATTATTGACTAAATAAATTATGGAACTTGTAATAGTTCATTCGTAGTTACAAAAGCAATTTTTAAACGAAGAGTAGACTGTCCTAAGACTTTTCATTAGTTTTAATTAATACAGTAATAATCAATGTGAATATTAACAACGTATTATAGTTATCGTAGGTTAGATTAAATTGTTATTAGTAAACTTATTTGCAGTTGGCTGACTATAAGATATAATATTATGTGTTTGTGCTCTTGAACTATTGATCGGACTTCGAGTTGCTTCAGCTTTAGAATTAATCCACGATTTATACCTAATTCCGATGGTTAGGAAATATCTTCCAATACATGTACATTAAAAATATAATTTATTTATACAATTGTACTTTCATAAGAAAATTCGTTTATTTGTTCAATAATATTTGAACTGCGTCACAAAAAAGTGGCTAAATTAGGTCGCAATTCAAAAATTAAAAAAGAAAGGTTGAAACCATTGTGGTACTATCGTATATTACTATCATATGTACAACAATATTTATTCTCAATATTACTACCATCCAGTGGCATATATAGGTTTTCATTTCGATCATGTATTTAATTTTTGAGGGGAAGTGAAGGAGGATCACACTATTACGACAAAATTACTTGAATACTATAAGACTTTTATAACCTTTACACCATCAGAAAATTAAGAAACTAAATTTTTTTAATGATTTATAATTTTAAAAAAATATAAAAACTATATTGTAATAAACAATATTTTTATTAGAGTCACTTAATATTGAGCACATATTTTCTTAAAAGAATAAACATATTTTATAAATATAAAATTTTAACTTATCACATAACCAACATTCTCAGTGTCGTGAAAATTTTTCGGAATAACCCCAGGCCTTAAGACATAATCATGTCAAGAATAACAATTTTTGACAATGGTATTTTCAATTTGGGAAGGAGAGAGCTTGCTCCTCCATAAATACGCTCTTGCTATGATCAATATATAATTATAATATTTAGTTATATTTTATAATTATTTAACTAAAATTTTAAAATAAAGAAAAAAAAACATAAAAAAAAATACTGTGATGACAATAGTGTTAATCCAATGAATTTTTAAAATTTGATTTACTTAAGTTGTTGATTCTTGAATAAATTTAATATTTACTTATTACATTTTGTTATTAAATCAGATAAGAGAATAATTTTAATTTAATTTAAAATTAAAACGTTTCACTTGCAACAACTAAAAAAATAGTTTATAAAATTAAAAGCGCAAAAGGCATACATTTAATGATAATATTCCCTCGTTTAAAAATGAATGTTTGAAAGTGAAAAAAGTTAGAAAAGAAAGTTTTATTCTATAACCCAAACGCAATAGTAAATGCAGTTAAAATCAACATGTACAATGAAAAATTGTAAACTCATTAATGAATACCCGTATACATATATAATTTGTATTGTTACCTACTGTGCATTTTTAAATAATATAATAAAATTATAATTATATTTTTTCGATTACTTATTGGATCAAATAGTTATTTTTAAACCACTCAAACTATTTCCGATATTCAAACTTTTATTAAACCACATATACTTGTAAAAGTTGACAATTGCTCTTAAATTTCTATTAGCTTATTATCAGGATTTGAACTTTAGAGAATGAATAATGAAGTTTAAAAGTGTTTAACAAAATAATATAAGCAGATTATTCATGTATTAAAGAATAGATTAAATAAAAATATATACTTGATATTTTATCATATAAGATCATATAAATAAGACGAATAAAGTAAGAATATTTAAAATAAATAGAAATTATATTATAAGACACGTATAAAACTTTTTTAATTATTGTTAGGTTAGGTTAGATTTATCATTAAAAAGCGTTAGGTAATATTTAATTACCTAAGAGGAGACCTCTTGGAAGACCGCGCTTAAGATGGGAAGATTGCGTTAAGAGAGACGCCAAAACAGTGGAGCCGGAGATTCATTGGCAGGAAGTAGCAGAGGATAGAGATAGGTGGCAGTATGTTTATCTAGAGGTATGGTCTTGAATGGCCGAAACCAAGAAAGAAGAAGAAGAAAGGTAATATTTAATTAAAGTATACCTTTAGCATGCGTATTTCACGTAGAGCAATTTTCCGAATCAGTGGGTCATCTTCAGATTCAACAAATTTTTTTATTGCTACTACTTGACCATTTTCTCGATTTCGACATTTAAATACCATACCGTAACTCCCTTCGCCCAATTTACCCAAACGCTCGTAGCGTTCCATCAATTTCAACTTGGAGCTGGATCCATGCCTGAAACTTAAATTATTATATTTTGTTTAAAAAATTATTAAAGAGATTCATTGCGAAAAAATAATGTTATAATCATATTGTATATTATTAGATTTCGAAAATGCTATTTTTTCAACTTTTTAGGGAGACGTATATTTAATAATAAATATAATCAAAATACAATTTTTTTAAATTATCTACCAATATAATGAAGTTTATATTTTTAATGGTACGTAGTACGATCGGTTATTTAGTTATTGTCTGCTTCATTACTCATTTTATTTTATTTTATATTGTGAAATGTAACTAATGTTATAACAATGGCTTATTAATCATTTATTATGAAATATTTTAATTACACTGATTATTTATACTAACTACATATTTATTATAAACAATTTAATAAATTGATGTAGTTCATAATAGATTACTGTGACATTTTTAATTTTATAATGCTTATCCGAAAAAATTATTGTATTTTGGTTAATAATTTATTTTTATACTACTTATGCAGTGAATACAATTTTTAAACTTTGCTTCTAATTTATTTTCTTCTTTATTGAGTAATTTTCAATTATAATTATTCTATGCTAAATTAAAGTTTAATTTAAATTATTTTAATGTAGGTATAGAAGACTTACTTTCAAGTCTCAAATTAAATCATAAGAAATATGAGGTAAGATTGAATTTAAAAATTATTAGTAATATCTCATTGCTGCATGTTCTATGGTATATTTTTAATATTATAATATTATAATATTATTAACAATTTTAAATAAATAAAAATTTGATGTTTGAAAATAATATCCAAATAAAAAAGTAATTCCCAGATATTTATAACAAATTTACATGTTACTCTTAACTTAATTATTATTAATTATAATTTATTGAGATTTCTTAAAATAAATTTATACAAATATAGAAATTATTTTGTTATAATTTATACACATACACACACTCATATATATTTAATTATACATATTTATACAAAGGCATACACATATATATATACTACATATTTTATACACCAGTATAAATATCTACGATGTACATTAAAATTATTTATGGTAAATCATAAACGTGCTTACTTGTCTATTAATAGTATGTACAAATATTGAAATAAAGATCTTACCTTCGTGGAAGTAGCGGTAAATTATTACCATACAGCCACAGACTTTTATCGGGCAAACATTCGCCCATATAAGTAAAAGTTACAACACTGACAGCAGTAGCAACTTCACAACAAAAGGCTGAATCAATAATATTGATTGTTAGGTCACTGTGGTTTTGTTTTTATTTCACTGAAGTAATAGTTACGGTTGAATAAATTATGAGTAGTAGTTGGCAATACAAAATATTAATTATAAGTATTTTGGGCAGCATATAAATTTGATTTAAGTTAGTTTAAAATGAAATCATATAAGTATAATAAAAATAATTAAAGATTACTAAATAAAAATTATTTTTAAGTTTCATTTAAATTATTAAAATATGTACTTATAACAATACAATTATCATGAATGTTCTATGTTAATAAAACAAAATACATATGTCTATATTTTACACGACTAAAATATCATTAAAATGTATTATGTAAAAATAATATAATATTATATTCATATTAATCTAACAAATTCGTATTTTACCTAGTTGATTAACTAAATACAAAAAAAGGAAAAAGATAGTTTGAAAACCTTAATGGCTACAATCATAGATTAAATATACATATATTTAGGTATATTTAATCTATGCTGCAATACATTATTAATTATTTTTGGACATAATGTTATGAATTCAATTATGATTTCGGTTGCTCAATAGTTATAACAAACATTATTCGAAAGACTTTTTAATACACAGGTAATTAATTAGAAAAAAAAATAATGAGCAAAATATGTACTTAGAAGTAAAATAAATTTAATTTAAAAATAAGTTATTTGACAAATATTTAATGATAAGTGCAGTATAGTTTTAGGGTGCAAAGAGAAAATCTATAAAGATAATTTGTCTGCGCGTGTGCGTGTAGTAATGTAAAAATATACACGAATAAAAATTATTATATGTACTTATACAAACTAAGTGACAGTCAATGTTAATGTATTATATTTTTTAGTTTATGGTTAAATGAGGCAATATTTGTAACTTTATTTTTTTGTTAACTTATACTCCGATAATAAATGAATTAAAATTTTCATCCAGTGTCTTATTGTAGAATGCAACAATATAATTTATCAGGGATTTTTCCAATTTGAAATAAAATATATAAACAAAATGAAAAGAATTTGTATTTTTTTTATATAAATCGTTAATTATTGGGTTAAGAGTATAACTAAAATTAAATACATGTTATATTGTTAATCATATACTTTTAATCTGAAATTCATGTTTTCGAGTAACTTTACTCTTAGCTGTACAATTTTATTAAGAGTCACAGCGGTATTCCAATTGAACATTGGAAAAAAAAAAAGGTACATTCTAATAACACATAATTAATTTTTTTTAAAATTTTTTCACTGTTAAAATATGCTTATTTAAAAGTTCTTCGAAATTTTTATTTTTATATTTTTCTAAATTCCGTAAACTTGTTATCGACGCAGTATTTTACGAAAATATTTTTCTGGTCTTGAAAATGAAATTTAACTTAATTGGGATAAATGGAAAAAAATAAATTTAACTATAAATTAATCTGTAAGAAAATGAGTTAAGTTAATAAGTTAAATTAACTTATCTTTTAACTTATTAAATCAGTAAAGTCCAGGCTTGGTTACACCAAGTTTACCAAAATAAAAAACATATCGAAGATATGGAATAAAGTAGAATAAAATAAGATACTTGTAAAAAACATTAGAAAAATGAGTATATGTTTTTGATTTTTCTCATGTTTTTTACAAGTATTTTATTTTATTCTAATTTATTTCTTTTCTCTAAGAAATTTAATATTGATCTTTGATATACTATTTATTTTGGTTTTATTATGATAATAAATTAAAAATGTAAGCAACAAATACTGCTTCAGTTTTATCAAAAACATTCGGCTTATTCTAAATTTTAAAACAAAATATAACCTTAAAAAATTAAAATTATGAGTTCAATGTTAATTGTTGAAACAATAACGAAAAGCAAATAATTAAAATTGCAATTAAGTTTTTTTAATGGTTTAATAGTTGTGGGATTTCTGTGAGCAATGACATAAACCATCCAAGATACTATTAGATTAGGATCACACATGATCATACAGTACGATTGTAATACGGTAAAAAATGGTTTTGTGTAAAAAATACTTACTTCTCCGACGTTTCCAATTCATTGAAACTTTTCAGCAGACACAACGATGAGTATCTACTGTAAATAACTCGACAAATATGCGTGAAAATTATAAAGAAGTTAAATTATTAAAAATCCACTTATCCCGAAAATTATTTCATGAACTCTCAAACTGTTGAGCTACAAATATCTTATATCCAAATTGTATGCATACCTACTCGTATTTCAGAACGATAACGTTATTTTTTTTTATAGTGACAACGATTTTATAAAAATTAAATTTGAAGGAAAAAATGCATGCAAAAATAGAACAGTCCATTTTCATCATACAATGACTAACATAAATTTGAATTATTCCGTAGTTGATTTAATTTAATACAATACAATTTAAATATTAAGCATCATATTATTTAGTATATAAATATTATATATTTCTGTATAATAATATTTTATGCTATTTGATGATGGTTAAAAAAGTTTTACTTAAGAAATACAAATAAGAAAAAAAATTAAATTAAATTAAATTAAATAAATACATATTAACATATCATAATGAAAAATATAGGTACACTTTATTAGTACTATTTAAACGTTTTTAGGCAATTTATTAAAAACTTGAACAAAAAAAAAAAAACTATTTTCAACTAACATCTAAGTATTAAATTTTATTATGTTATATAATCATGACGTTTGATAGACGTTAGAAAAATAATATTTTATATGATGAATTGCTCCAGAGATTTTTATCACTAAGCTTCAAAATGTTACTCGTTGCATGATTACAATGCGTTTTACTATTTTTATAAACATTTTTTACGGGAAAAGAAGTGTAGACAATTTTTAATGAATTTCCACAATAATTACTATCGAAAAATATTAGTCGATAATATGCGTTCTTTCGTAATCGGAGTGATTTGAGTTACATTACTTCCATTTCACTGAGTTTCAATCACGGATATTTTTTCAGTATTTTAGCTTTACGCGAGCTATGTCCTTCTTGACACAATTACTCTGCTCTCTACGGGACATCGGAATAATGTGTTCAACTGCTATACAATATTAAGTCCTAGGAGATATCTCAAGGACTTTAAGAATGGTTTTCTTCTTTTCCAACAATTTCTATTTTTTTTAAACAAATTAAAAACCCAACATGTAATTTAACCCATTAGATTATCAACATTATCTTTTTTTTCGAACGAACTATTGATATAGCTTCTCAAAGTGAAATCCTACTTTTCCTTTGTGTACAATAGTCAGTGATATTTTGCACTTGATTCTTAAGCGAAAACAGTTGTACTTACACATTATGATCCAAAAATAAAAAATTATAGTTTTTGTTTGTAGTGTAAATGTATTGAATAACTGGGTATTTTACAGAATAAAGATAGTTTTATTTGCGAAGTATAGAGATAATAAAATATACAACTTTGGCACAGTATTATTTTGTAGTAATAATTTATGTAGTACATTTTTACATAAGATACCGGTGATTATACTGCAGTTAATAATATACTTATAAATGATAACATTAGCATTTTTTGATCGTGCATATTATAACTATGCTGGCAATTATAACTTGAGATAAGGAACGGAAATTAAAATATGCTAAACTAGATTTGAGAAATACTATGAAAAGATAGTGATATAAATTTATTTTGAGTTATTGCAGAAGTATAAATTAAAACATCATTAGTTAGCTTATTAAACTTCAATAATATATACTATCTATCATGTGTAATAAAATTCAAATAAATTTCAGTTAGAGATTAAATTTTTCACATACTACAGTAAAACAATAAATAGCCATAAATATACATGTATATAGAGTGATGGAACTACGATCATTGAGGCCCGTGAATACAGAATATATTTCTTTTTGAGACCCTATTATATCTGTAATCTAACTTTCTAATGATTGGGCTGTTTATTTGTATACAATAAAATATATTCATTATAAATTAACAATTTATTGAATTATTATCATAATAACAATAATAATAATTTTGCATTCGCAATGAAAATGATTTTTTTCTTCTTGAGTTAACGTCTTCACAGACAACAGTAAATTCTCCAATTATTTAACACTCTTATTTTTTATCGTAATCATCGCGAGCCTACCAAGTCGCATTTAGGACATAGTGTTTATTAGATAGTTTTTAATGAATTCAAGTTTCGATAATCTACTTTCGGCACTTGGTACAGTGACTAGTAATGTAAGGAACAAGTCAGCGATTAGGAACAAGATCTAACATTATACACGTATAGTGTATTTTTCTCATTTAATAATAAGTATATAGTATAAAGTATATACAGTAGTCTAAGTTCCATATTGATGACATTGAATAATCTATATACCTACACGTTCAATAATCACTTATCAGTATACTTTATATTTTTCAATATTCCATGATTTTATTTAATTGAATTGACATTTTTTTTTCGCAGTACAGATTTTTATTGCGAGGCGCCCATAACGATAAGGCCTACGTAAAATCCTGCCTTCAATCATACGTACCTCTGTATATATATATAAGCCAATCATACACTGATTGCTATTTATCAAAAATTACTTAACATACGAACTTGAAATTTAGAAAAGTGGTTTCTCTGATACTCTAAATGAATAATGATAATGGGTTTTAAAAAATATTACACTTAAGTGGACTAATTAATAATAATAATTCACCGACAATACATATTGTGCGGCATGGCGGACAACGAATTTCCTGATACCTGCGACTTGTCCTTTTTGCACATAAATTATATGTTTGATATAACATGTATGTAGATATGAATTTTTTAAAGAAATTAATCGATAAAATATTATTTCGCGCATCACTCGTACACCAACACTGTATACTAAGTACTCGTATTATCAACTATCTTTACAAGCTGTGGTACGAGAGAAACAGTTTTTCTATCAAGAATACCTTTGATTCTATCTGACTTCCATTTTCAGTTCAAACGGTTAAAGTTTCCTGTCAAGGTCTGTTTTGCCATGACAATTAACAAATGAAAAAGGCAGTCTTTGAATGTGGCAGTAGTGGATTTATGGAATCATTGTTTCTCCAATAGCCAATTTTATGTTATCTGTTCACGTATAAAATCTTTTGATAACTGCTGTCTAGTTATTTTATGTACAGGAATAAACATAAAAACTAACAGAAAACTTGATAAGGAAGTCTATTCAGCGATAAGACTCTTCAAAATTAACAAATTGTTTTTTTTTTTTTTTTAATTAATTAATTATATTTATGATAAAATACCTCGACTTTAGTGTATTTTGATATGATATGGGTAATTTTTGAGTAGGATGTGCGAGAATCAAATTGAGAATAAGAAGATTATGGTGGTTTAATAGTTTGGTATGAAATATTTTACTTAGAAATTACTTACTAGTTGCTCAACAGTTTCAAATTAACTAGAATTTAATTGTTAGTTTGTATATAATTGAATAGTTTAACTACTGTTATGTATACACTAACGAGCATATTTAGTTATTTTATTAAATACTATAAGTAAATTATTTTATTAAGTTACGAATTAACATTGATACATATTTGGTATATACGAGGCCAAAGAAATAAAATAACACAGTTAAATAATTTACTTGTTTATAGAATTCGATTAAATAATAATTATACATAATAATATATTATATATTCATACCATTTTGAAAACTATACACATTATATTGATAAATACGTGACACTTCTCTTTAAATTAATTATCTACTTAATCAAACAAATTAAAACATCGAAAAAAAATTGGTTTATGTAGGTATATATTCAGAACTATAAACGTATCACTAATTGATTAAAAAAAAAGATAGTTATTTTTCTACCATATTTTTATATAAATCTAAATTGATTAATTATTATAGTTTTTAATATTTAAATACTTATGGCGGCAAAAACAATTAACAGTAATATCTTGATACACTTTACAAGTATTGGACGATGAGCTTTTTACTTAAATATTTATTTTATAATTTATTAATAATAAATATTCATGATTTTTTGTATAGTATGTCAACAGTAAGTTAAAAAAAAAAAAAATTGAATATACTGTAGAAGGCTTTTTTTTATTGTACTATTATTATTCTAATTTTAAATAAATAAAAACCATATTTTTTATCTAAAAATTCCAAAAAAATTCATATTGTTTAAAATATTATATATATCATAATTTGAGTTTTTTTATTTTAAATTATAGTTATTGTTTTCAAACAAACGTTCAAAATGAAATATACGTATCTGTTGGTATAATCAATATGAGTGTTATAGAAATGCTATACTTCAATTCCAGTCTATTATTTTTATAAAACATTTGTGGTATGTATTATATTTTAAATGTATTTCAGTTAGGTTAAATAATTTGAAATTCATAAGAATTCTTTAAAATTATAGAGAGAAAATAGTTTTTAACTACTGTCGGTAACTTAGGTATTTTAAGCTATAGGTTGAAGTAAAAAACTGCACAGATCGGTATAATACTCGTATTATAAACTAACTACTTTTCTATAAAAACAATAATATAGATATCATATGTGTAATATTACACACATGATATCACATATTACAAAAATAATAATAACAATAATAATAATAATAATAATAATAATAATAATAATAATGGTTTATTGTAAATAAAAAAAAATTACAATAAGTTATCAATTAAGTTGTCATGAATGCTTTCGGTAACATAATATGATATATTGTTAATTACTGAAGAAAAAAATATACCTAAGATGAACTAAATTATTAAACGAGACCTATTGCTAAAAGATAATATTGAATTATAAAAGGTAAAATCAAGTAATAATTTTACATACGTTGAATATAGTATTTATTTTGTATGTGTAGTGTAAACATTTTATATGTGATCTACCGTATTATTAAAAAATGATCAAATTAAGCATATATTTGAATAGTTAATTTAATTATAGATAAAATGTTTTATCTTCACTGAATCGTCCAATATTTTTAATATTAATTTATAGTATACTCATTAGCATAGAATGAGCATATTGTGATTACGAATCAAGATTTATTACTTAATTCCTCAATTTGTTGCGCAGCCAACGTGTACACGTTACATTTATTATTAACTTAACGAGTAATACATTTAAATATGGAAATATTCTTAAAATTAAATTACAGGTGACAGACATTAGTTGGTGTTTTAAAAGGTATTCCCATTGTTGGGTTAATAAATTAACATAGGTATACAGAACTATACATGTATGTAGTAGTGTTTGTTGTAAACTTGTGAGCAGTATTTCCATTGTAATTAAATGCGCGTACGGTTCGGTTCGCAATACGGAAATGATTTCGATTCGTGAGTACCGTTGTTCTTGGCAGTTTTGAACACCGATAAAAATTGCGCATAACTCTATAGGCTAGACTGTCCGAGAAACGTCGAAAAACATTACAGTTCATTATTGTTATTATAGTTGTTGTTGTTGTTGTTGTTGTATCTACGTGTGATACCGTCGCAGACCGTTGTTTGCGACGGGCCGCGAGTGAATGCAAAGTTACTGTATACAGAGTATATATTATATAGACAATAATAATTCGTACGCGTATAATATTACATTAATATCATCGTGTCTGTCACCTATTTACATAAATTATTAAATCGTACATGAGATTTCTACACACTATTGTACAACGGTTGACAATAATCGTTCGGCACTCGTGCGCATTACGTTACGCGGTGGTGAACGAGGTAGCGATTGTACAGGATGACAGTTTTGTCAATGGGGCGAGAAAGGGTTGGGTAAATGAAAATTGGGCGACGATCGCGATAAATCCGTCGGAAAGTATATAACAGCGTTTTGATAATAATAACGGTAATGACGATAATGATAATAATATTAATAATAGAAATAATAATGCGTTTGCGATTCACAATAACGGTAAAGATTATTGTTTTTCCACGGTACTACCACTACTGCCGTCACCGCCGCCGCCAACGGCCTCCGCGCCGTTCTTCTCGTCGTTCAACCGTTTCCTGGTGGCAAAACCACGCATCCTGGCCTGTATTTTGATCGCAGCTTTCGTCAGAGCTTCCACGTCGTCATCGTCACCACCGCCGCCAACGTCGCCGCCACCGTCCTGCACCACCGGCACCACCGAAGTGGACGTCACCCCTACGGCTTCCGCTTCTGTCGATGTCGCGTTCGTTTCCATCCGGCCACTGCCGTCTCCGTCCCCGCCGTCGTTCTCGAACACCTCGTCGTCGCCCGACTGAAGCAGCTGCGGATCGTCGTCGTCGTCATCGTCGTCGTCGTCGCCGCCCGGCTCGCGTTCCTGCTGCACTGGTTGTCCGTCCGCGGCCGACTCCTTGAGCGGCGCGTATGTGACCGACACCACGGACTTCTGGTCGTCGTCCGACCAGCACTGACTGTCGTCCGTGGTCGTGGTAGTCGTCGACGGCGCCGCGTTCTTCAGCGACTGCCTCACCCGGTACCCGCGGAAACCGGCTTGGATCTTGACGGCCGCCGCGTTCACCGTCTCCACGTACTTGCGGGCACGAAACCCGCGGTACACAGCCTGTATGGTGGTGGCCGCCCGGTCGCCCGCCCCACCGTCCGCCGCGCGGTCCGCGGCTCCGTCGTCGTTGCCCGCCTTTGCGGTGTCCGCCACCGTCCCGTTTGCGGCGCTCGTTGATTTCATGTCCACGATGTCCGCGTCCTCGTCTGCTTCCGCTTCACCTGAAACCCAAACGTCAGTGTGATGAGCGCATGTGACAGTGTACAACGCGCGTAAAGCTAAGACGTACGGTACCCCTCACCGCAAGTGTCATTCCTCCCCACGTTACGGCCCACCTTTGGATTTAAACACGTCTTATTCAGGCTCATGACTTCATATAATTTTTATTGTTCTACAATATATCGCGTAGTAGATCGTTAAATTTATCGCGTTCAATTATGTGCCACAGCCACGTCAAATCAATCAAAATGCTGCACATGAATTGCGTCCCGAAATCCCTTTTCTACACGAATTGCGTCCCAACGTAAAAACATTAATTTGATGATACCTTCTTAATATAATCAAGACGGGTCAATTGGCCACTTTCATGTTTTGCCATATTTTGTCTTAAATAATCTTCTTTTTCACATACCATCAGTCGTCTGTTTTTAATTACATGAATACTTCGTTTTTTAATATGTTTCTTTTTGTACATTTTTTAAAACATCTATAAATTGAAATATATTCGGGTGTGCTGAGTAAAACATACTGTTAAACTTGAAGTAAAAGTCTTTACAACTATTCGTAGTTCGAATTATAGAGCGTGAATACATTGCCCACACAGAAAACGGGAAGTCACAAATAGGCTTTATGTATGTATTTAATATATAATCAGAAAATTGCTGTACTTTTTCATCTTCGGGTAAAATTGATATAATATCGTCCGTAAAACAATCCTCCACTTCATCTGGTTTTAAAAATGGGAGACCAAAAAAATATTTTAAGAAAAACTGATATCTGAATTTTTTTTGTATTCTTGACTTAAACCAACCGTTTAAATTTTCCTCCACCAACTTTGACCTATATGAAACCTGCATCCTTTCATTTGAATTAACGGCCAAACTAAATTTATTATATATTTAAAGCATGTTCATCGTACATGTAATCGTGCAAATAAACCCTGAAGCAATTCATGTAGTTGATCAAATAAGGCTGGACGCAATTTTTGTACTCGCTTATCAATTTTTTTATTTCGGGATGCAATTCGTGTGTAGCCAATCAAAATTATCGTAACGTAATGCAGGCGTTAATTTTGATAGATCAATGTTGTCCATGTACTGTTGGAAATTCTACGAACGACGGATTAATATTTTTTTTACGAATTACGAATTACGGTTCAGTATGTTATTTAGGCCTCCAAATTAATTTTACTTTTATACGAAAATTCAAAGTATACACATCATATTGATTTTTTTTTAATTGTGAATATTTTTTATGAAACTATGATGAAATTAAATTAACAGATAATTAATAGATATAAAAAGTAGAAAGATAATTCAATTTATTACTATAAAAAACATGCTACAATATGCGTGAACCATTGTTCTAGTTTAATACTGATTGTAATTGGAATCATTACGTTGGGAATTCACTGTTAAATACATCAAAATTATCAATTATTCTAAGGAAGTGTGGTTTTATAAATATCTAAGACACCCTGTAATCTAGGGCCCAGGGCACTGCCCAATTTCGCCCTATGATAGCCACGCCATTCTTGGGGACCGAGACCACTGTTCAACGAAGTCGCTCCAGCTGTAGTCGAATATTATTTCAATCTCGGGCGATAAAACATCGCACTGCGTATGTATACGATTGCCCGTTGTAATTTCAACGGGCAATCGTATAGCTTAAGCTTGTAACAAACCGATATTTTTTAACAGATATGTACGAAAAAATCCTCGTTATAGAAGCAGTTAGTCTAGGCAAGCGATGTTATATAAGTGCATGCTCTGGACGAAGCTATAAGCGGTGCGTCGGAAAAAAAAAAATTAAACTCATATAATTTAAATCAGAGTGTGTACATTGATTATTAGTGTCGAGTGGCGCGTCGGAAAAAAATGTAGGCCCATATAATTTAAATCAGAGTGTGTACATTGATTACTATTGTCGAGTGGCGCACCGGAAAAAAAAAATTAAACTCATATATTTTAAATCAGAGTGTGTACATTGATTACTATTGTCGAGCGGTGCGTCGGAAAAAAAATTTAAACTCATATAATTTAAATTGGAATGTGTACATTGATAACTAGCGGCGCGACGCCTCACAAATCAAATATGTTTGAATTTCGCCGCTTGCCGCCGCTCATGAAATATTTAATTATTTATCAATAAATAAATAATCCAATGTAAAAATAATCTCGATTTTTAATTCCTGTGCCAATAAGCAATGAACCTCGAAATAACAATAATTTGTACCAATTGTACCAAGTTTTCCAAGTAATAGGTGTTCAGTGGATTTTTGTTGTTGACAGACCAACAACTCTTTTTTTTAAAAAATATTTTATTGCGTAAAATTGAATTATCTAACAAAAATTGACAAACGATTTACTGACGTTATTACAACTTGGAGTATATAATCGGAATGAAGCTGAAAAATACGATATCATTTATATTTTATACCAAGACGCTCGCCAATGTACACGTGGTCTTACGGTCTGGTAAAATATAAAACGTATGCACCGAGAAAGATCGTCACTTCGGATTGACGCAGTAATGATATTGCGTTCGCGAATTGTATGGTGACTGAACTGAGTGTATATAAATATGGGTATATAAGATAATTGGTTGTAATGTTGTTTGTATATCACGTATTATTTTATACACATTTGGATTATTGTCATGGCTGTTTTATTAATATTTAATGTTAATTTGAATACTGGTCTGTGGACACACAGATCAACTAAAACGCATAATATGAATTTTATTAAATTATTAAATACATTTTATTAACTTCCAAAGTTTAAATTTTTTCATGTTTAGAATATTATTTAATAATAGTATGTTATTATTTTTTTTATGTAAGCAAAAACGTATATTATTATTTTGTAAGATTAGTGTTATAGTCGGACTTTTAAATTTTAAATTTTTTCCTACATAAGTATCAAATTTTTAATTGTAATAAGTCGATTATAAATAAATAAAACCATAAAATATATTTTTATTTAGCTTATTGAAACTATGAAAATTGTTTTAAGGTGATTTAACATACCTATGTCTGAAAATTAATGTATATTTTACAAAATAGAGATATATTTCGGGAGGGGGAGGTCATTACTCGTTTACCCACCACTAGCTATACCATTGTGCTATCCTATTGGAGTTATTAGAAATAATAACAATAAATAGTTTTCTATTATTAGAAACATATTTTCATCAAGTGATTGTAAACTATTATATCGACGTTTAGTGGCTGCATCCACGTAACCGCTATCAATGTACACAAATGGACGGCGTAACTGTATAATATTAAAAATATATTTCTTGAAGTGATGTTTTGTAATTTTGATTCGTGAAGAGGTTTTTTTATATCTAGGTACATAAAATTGTTGAATGTATGGAAATTAATTTAAGCACTTAGGCATAACGTCATCTATTGATTAGTTGAGTAAAACGATTTCTAAGTTCACTGGCAAGTGACTCAACATTTTTTTTAAAATAATAATTTATGCCATCCGTAGTTAAGAACCAAAAACAATGGAAATAACTGAATAAACTTGTCGAATTATTCGAATATTTTCTGACCGTAATAATTTTATTATAACAGGTATACCTGTAACTGTATTCAGCATAGCTAAAACTTTTATCACATTTTAAATAAAAGGTCAGAATATTCATTCAATCATAATTTGGTTTACTTTAATGAATAATGGATTACATTCGATGACTGAAATATTAAGTATATTAAAGGTTCAAAGTACTAAAAATAAAATAATAATAACTTAATAACAACAACAAAGTTAGTACCAATATGGCTATATCCAAACTAATCAATAATTATATTATTGTATAAACTTATTATGTATTAAATTGTAAAATAAAATGTGTAATATGATTGATCGATTGGTAATTTTCATCATTGTGGCCTCGGACACGCTGTCAGGTCAGAAACTTGCTATACCATTTTAAGGTACACAGTTGAAGTGTATTCGTACCTACTACATGACCGGTAGTTTTTTTGTCATTTAAGGCTCTAGGGTGTAGGTTGTTAATCAGATCGGGAAAGTATTACAACTTGTGTGATCAAAAACCGACTGATATCCAAGTGGTCATACATTATTTATAGTTAGGATATAATTATTGGTTGGTGACAATACATTTCAAAATAAAAGTGGATTTCTTGTTTTCTTATAGACCACGAAGCCGCAAAGTTCTTCGTGGATAAATAAAAAATTATGAATTAACAGACTTTTATTTTTAATTTTTGTATACACATAGGATGTGATTCATTAAACTAAATATATATATTTTTAATAAATATAAATGTTTTAAAAGATAAAAAAATTATAATTGATTTATAGCAAAATATTTATAAATAATAAACATCATAACGTCAATGGTAAGTATTAGCATTGATTTCAGAATATATATATAAATATTCTGAAATGAATGCTATTAGCATAGAATCTATACTATATTCCAGGGGCGGCCAAATGGTTGATCGCGGACGATTTCAGAGTCGATTATGTTAGACTTTATTTTTAGGCCACGTGCACGAATTAATCGTGGTAGTTATGAACAAATTGTCGATAAGTTTTATCTGTATAGTTTTTATCTTTTATTCTGATTTATAAAAAAATTTTCCATGAAAGTCGATCTTCAAAGGTGAAGTATATTTTTAGTAGATCGTTGCCGAAAAAAGTTTGGCCGCTTCTAGTATATTCGTAATAAAGATACTATACATAGTCATGAAATCATGATGTTAAGGTTTATAAATTGTATCACTTGATGGCGCTGTTGGAAACATATTAAGTTAAAAATGTCCATTTCTTATAGTTCAAATTGATAATTTGTTATTGTATATAAGTGGGTACCAGGAAGATATGATTTTAATCATGTGAGTGTTTATTATAAATTTTAATATGCTCAGCAACATTTTAAAACGAGTCAATATAAATTTATTGAAAAAAAAAAACTATGGTAAGTACTGTAAGTGAATTACATTATTTCAGAAAATTAATTCTCA